TTTGTTGAGTGATCAACAGTTTGTTTTCTTCATTGTGCATTGTATTTTCAGGAGTTTCTCCACCTCCAAAAATGAAAAGCTTCAGTACTCTTCCTGCCCTGCTTTTTTAAAGTTCAACTTTCACTTCCATACAGGGTCACAGGACATACCATTGTTTGCATGATTTTAAACTTTGTAGACATATGCACATTACAGTAGTTGAATGTCTTTTCCAAAGCCTTCTCATATTCACACCAAGTGTTAGTCTGTGGTGTATTTCTTTCATCCTTGTTCCATTACTGATGATGGTTCATCCTAAAAGGCAGAAACTATTAACTATTTTGATACCTTCATTGTCAGTGCTAAGGCTAATTGTTCTACTTGTTGTCATTAGTTTGATCTTCCTTATATTTAATATTTATCCCATTTTTTTCATTTTTGTTACCAAGGCTTGCAAATTCTTTGCATTTTCACTTATGAGAACAGTGTCACCAGCATAGTGCAAGTTAATCTTGTTTTTACTCCAGAATTAAAACTATCCTCATCTTCTTCCAGTTTAGATACCCTTAATACATATTTCACATATAAGTTGAATAAATAATGGGAAAAGAAGCAGCCTTCTTCTCACTACTTTGCCTACTTGGAGCCCATCTGTTTCACCATGTTCTGCCTGGACTGTGGCTTCCTGACTTGTAGATAAATTTCTCATGACAACAGTGAGATGTTCTGGGATTGTTATTTTTATAGCAAGTTCCATAGCTTGGTATGAACAATACAATGTAATGTTTTTCTATAATCGAAGAAGCACATACTGAGATTTTTTTTTTGCATTCTTCAGCTTTTTCAATTATCAATTATCCAATAATGTTTCATTTCCTCGGCCTTGTCTAAAGCCAGCTTGAACATCTGGCATTTATTTTTCCATGTAGGGCTCTAACTGTGTTGGATAATTCTAAGCATTATTTTGCCATCATGTGAACTTAAGGATATTTTACAATATTTTGCATACTCTGTTAAGTATTCTTGTTTTGGTACTGGAATGTACATTAACCTCTTCCAAATGATTGTCATTCTTCAGATTTGGAACACTATCATGTCACCCTTCGTGACCCGTCAAAACTGCGTTCCACAAAAGCGCGGTCGACGAAATCGCGTATGTGACGTCATCACAACGCGATGNCACAGAGTAGGTTCCAACAATTTTTGAAACCCACCACTGACAGAAATAAAAGATTTTCTAGAGGTAATTTTTGATCAATCCAAGCAAATGTCAGAAGCAGTTAATTATAAGCTATCGTCACTTAGAAAATTTATTTTTTTACAAAAAAAAAGATGTGTATTATCCATTTAAGAGAAGTTTGACATCGGTGATATTGACAATGGTGACACTGAAGAGGATTTTGTCAGAGAGGGCCTTTTCATTCAACCAAGGCTACTCAACAAATGTTCGATCCACTTTATAGACCAGTTATTGTCTTATAGAAATAGAATACCATATGCATGATCACAGTTCTAAAAACACTGCTTTGGATGGCCGTTACTTTTATTGTTAACTTACATATTGTGCAGAGAGATCAATCCATGAGTTCTGATGATTCAAAGGATATGATGCAAAGTTGAGAATTTGAATGTTACCATAGCTGTACCCTGAATAGTGTTCTTTGATGCATTCCAATAGCAACAGCCCTTATACTTATGTACCACTCTGTAGTGCTTTACAGCACACTCTGAGTGGTTTACAAATGTCAGTATATTGCCCTCAACAATCTGGCTCCTCATTTTACTGATCTCGGAAGTATGGAAGGCTAACCTTGAGCCTCATCAGAATCAAACTCCTGGCTGTGGGCAGACTTAGGCTGCAACTCTGCATTCCAACCACTGGGCCACCACACCTCCAAGTCCTGTTTATATATGAGCAAAGGGAATGCATGGTTTCTATTCAAGTTTGGAAAAATTCCATCTAGGCTGAACAACTTTCTAAATAGCTAGGACCCTTTAAATGATGTGCAGATAGATCTTCTCCTTCTCCTTTTCCTTCTCAGTTGCCTCAAACTATGTTTGTGTATATATATGTATATGTATGTGTTCTGACCCTCCTCGTCCCACACCANAGTTGAATGGGGAAACCAGATATCTCTTAACCGTCGTGTTACTAACTTACCAACGGCAGTGATTGGCTTAACGATGGCCAAGAATGGCCTTTGATAATTCGAAACTCACTTAACAACTTAGAAATAGAAATTTGGGGCTCTACTCCGCGGTCGTAAAGCAAGGACTTACCTGTACTGTGTTCTATTAATGGCTGGCCTTTGGGTCACGGGGTCAGCAGGTCGAGTCACTTTCAATTCTAATAATCTCCATTAAAGTTGACATTTGAGGACTACCTGTAATCCCTGAATAGAAACAATAACACACACTCTCTATCACTGTTCTCTCTCCCGCTTCTCTTTCTCTCTTCTCTTCTCCCCTCTCTCTTCTTCTCTCTTCTCTCTCCTTATCTTCCTTTCTTCTCTTCTCCCCTCCTCTCTCTTGCAGTGGGATGGAAACGTGTGTCTCTGGGAGTATCAGCAAATGGAGTACGACGAAGATGATCTCGGCAACCCCCAGCAGCTCCTAACCACCCGAGAAAGGCATTCCCCGCTGGCTGTCCCCACACATCAGTAGCCTTCCCCCTCACTTGTTCGCCACCTTCCTCCAGTTTGGGACCCGCTCGGGGCCAAGAGCGAGGGGGGGGAAACGCTGTCTTGCGTTACCAATCATTTCCGGGGGTGGGGGAGTGTTTCGCCAGAAGGGAGAGGGGAGGAAAGGCGCTTCGGATGAACTCACCCCTCTCAAACGAACCGATCTCCCATCTCTAAAACCTCTGGCGGCGGTGACCTTGAGGATACAAATAACCATCCCGCAGTCGTCGGATCCTAAGGATAGCCGCGAAAAAACAGACCAGCAAAACCACACCACTGAATGTTCTTGTGCCTGCTGGGCTGATTTCTGTATCCTTCTAGATGAGCTGGACTCCGTCCCACGAATCCCGAGCGGAGGGGGGCGGGGAGAAACGGCTGGCCCAGGAATATGGGGCACCAAAATTCACATCTGGAGGGCTACAGTTGGAAAGCCGGATGGGCCCTTGGAAGAAAAAATCCTCCTGGTATAGAATCATGACGGGGAAATGGCCCCCAACAGCAACCCTGCAGATGGTCTCCGCAATGCCAAGATTCGTTCGCCACCTTTACCCACACAACAAAAGTGTAACGCACCCACAATAATTTTCGGGGCGCCTTGTAAGACTTGACTTCGGTCTGGAGCTTATCAGGGGGGGGAATTGGGGGGCGGGGAAATATCCAGTTTCCTTCCGATCTGAGCCACAGAGAAGGGATCCCCGAACGACACGAGAGGTCCCAAAACGATCCGAAGAGCCTTGAGGGGGAGGTGTGTAATTGAGATGGCTCCCCCTCTTTTCTCAGAGGGACGACGGCGAGTGCTCGCTGAAGCCACACACCCCTTTGGAGGCTGGGGAGGGGTCCTTGCACAATATTTGTCGGGCGACACAAAAATGTCTGCGACACATTTGTGGCCAGAGGGACAGTTGCCGCTTTCTTCCCAGCTGCCCATCTCTTCCCAGTTGCTGACGATGTCTTCTTCGAGTCACCCTCAGAGTCACTCAAAATTGGGGGGATCCCTTTCTGCCTCTTCTGGGGGGGGGAGCTCCTTGGAAGGGACGGGGAGGCAGATGTTGCTGTCCTTAACCTTAAAAGATGTCGCCCAAGTTGGCCCGCCCTCGGCTCTCTTTCCGAAACCCTCACAGGTGTGGGGGGGGAGTCTCACCTGCTCTGTAAATATTAATGGGGAGGGTCCTTGCAAAGAAGAGGCTTTTGGGGGTACCCAAAGAGTTTTTTTTAAAAAATTAATGGATGGGAGGGGCGAGCGAAAAGAGCCGCGTGTTGTAAAGCGTGTGAAAGCGCGGGGGGGGGGAGGAATCCTTGTTTGTTTTTTCTAGTTGGAAAAGGAGCCCACCCACCCCCCAACTCACAATCCTTCCCCAGGGGTCCTGCCTTCTAGGAAGAGGACGACGACAAAGGGGAGGGGTCCATGCTGGGGCTCCCTTCCAAATCTAGGTTTTGTAGAAAGGGGGAGGGTCTTTCCCCCTCCCCTCTCCATTTCAGGGCTGATGCAAACCGCTGTCCGTTGTCTTAAATAAAAGTGGTTGAAATTTGGTTTGTTGTGGGATTTCTGCGCCGCTGTTCAAGGACAGAGGTTCAACGTAGAACTGAAGGAGACAATTGACCCATGGAACTGCTTGCCACCAGAATGTTGCAGGCGTGCCATCCCTGGAGTCTTTTTAAGAAGAGAGCGGAGAATCATTTGTCTGGAACGGCGTAGGGCAGTGAGCGCTAATCTTTTTCGTCACCGCGTGCTGGAAATAGCATGCAAAACCATCCCGCAAGGGAGCAGCGTTCTGTCATGCTGGCACCCCAACGTGCGGCCGACAAGCAGCTGGAGAACACCCAGATGTACCCAGATACACCCAGTTGTTTGGTGTACCAGCGCGCATGGAACACTGCTCTTCCAGGGTTTGGCGCCCCTGCGCGCACGAAGGCCAGCTGACCAGCATGAGTATGTGCACAGGAACGCAGAAGGGGAGACAGCGAAGCCGCATGTCCTGTGCAGGATAGCTCTGCATGCCGTTTCCGGCACGCGTGCCATAGATTCAGCACCACGAGTATAAGGACTCCTGCTTGGGCAGCAAGATTGAAATAAGCCGGAACAACATCGGAAAGGAGGAGGTGGCAAAGCCAAGGGAACACAAAACCATAAAACGAAAGTTTAAAATATTTCGGAACAGGCGATGCGACACCCGGGAAAAATACGCCATCCTTCACTTAATCCTCCAAGGGAAAATCGAAGGCAGACGAGGTCCAGGCAGAAGAAGAACATCGCGCTTTCAAAATCTAAGGGACCGAGTTTAGACGAAACGCAACTGCGCATTTTTTACGCGGTTGATGATAAAAATTGGATTGACGACGGGCATGGTGCAAGACGCAGCAGCTCGGGGAAGCGGGTTGGACTAGATGACCTACAAGGCCCCCTTCCAACTCTCTTTTGATGGGTTTGAGTCTCAACTTCCAACCTCTTAGAATTTGGCCAGTGGGGGGGAAAAGAGAAAGACGGAAAGGAGTGGAGGGATAGAAGGAGATAAGAAAGCAAGGAAAGATCTCTTAGGGCCTTTATAGAAGCAGGTCCCGCAGAGTTCAAGCGAGGAGCAAAACGTTTTTCTTCTTTGAGATCCTTGCCAACCAATCCTTGATTTCCCCCCCGCCGAAGGCTGCAAGGGACAGCCGGTCTCCTAATCCATTGTGCCCTTCTGTCCTTCACATCGGCTGGGCGACATGCCCGCAGCTGTCGCCGGGCGTCATTTTAAACGCCATGGGTTCTCCCCACCCCCAGCCCCTCTTCCTCTCCCGTCGACTCTTTTCTCCTTCGGTTCCTCGCCCGCTTGCCAACCGGGGCATCTCTGTCACTTCCTTCAGGTGGGGCGATCTGAGAAAGGGAGGGGATGGCAGAAGGACGGGCCCCTAAAAGGCCCTTCTCGCTGCTGGCCACGGGCGCCGGGTGGGCCAAATCCCTGGGCCAGGCACTGGTGGTTTTCTGGAGCAACCAATACGCTTGGCTTCTCGGGGTGCCAGGCCTCCGCCGTGCTTACCACCTGTGGCTGGCGTCGGTGGTCATTTTTGGGCCCCTGCTTCAGTTTTACGTCAACCCCCGGGCCATCTTTGCCAATCATCACAACTTCTTTAACATGTGAGTAATGTGTGTGTGTTGGGGGGGGGGTCTTTTTGGGTAGGTGGGTTGGCAGCGATCAGCTTAGGGGGATAAATAAAGCAAATCCATTTTATTTTATGCGATGAAACGTTATCGATTCAACTGCCTATCTGCGGCCCCCAATTGCAAAATATATCTTACGATGGAAAGCTTGCCAACGTCATTTTAACACCTAGGTCTCCTTGGCGCGAGGTCATCCAGGGTCACAGCTAGTCCTCGACGTACGACCATTCGCTCAGTGACATTTCAAAGTGACGAGATCGCGGGGAAAAAGGGACTTGTTCACACTTAATGACCGTTGCAGCGTTTTCCCCTGGTCGTGTGATCAGAATTCAGACGCTTGGAAACAGACTCGTGTTTATGACGGTTATAGCATCCCCAGAGTCCCGCGATCCCCCCCCCCAAAGTCCATGGAAAGTCAGATTCACTTAACCTGTGTGACTGACTGAACAACTGCAGTGATTCACTTAACAACCGTGGCAAGGCACAACAAAATTCCCTTAACAAGCGTTTCACAGCCACGGGAATTTAGGGCGCAACTGTCGTAATTTGAGAACCACCTGTAGTCCATTCTTCCAGCTTTAACAGCTTCTTGTAACATACAAGTCGTCCTTGATTTATAACTGCAATTGAGCCCTGAAATATGGTCGTAAGTTGTGCCGGTCGTTAAGCGGATCACCGAATGATCATGCCTGATTTTTTTTTTAAATCATTCATTGAGTTTCCATGGCCACCCAACTCAATTAAGCGATATTTGATTTTTCCACCTTTTCTTTTTAAGGCGTCGTTAAACAAATCTATTGTCCACCAGGTTTTTTTTAATGTTGGGACCACCATTTTCAAGGAAATCGTCATAAATCAAGTGAATGTGGGACACCCTGCCAAAGGCCGTAAACCCAGCCAAGTTGCTGGGACGGGAGCGGCTTATAACTGGATCATAATTAGCTCTGAAACTTAAAATAATCACGAAGTGACCCGTCGTAAGTTGAGGACTAGGTGCCCTTGATTTCAACATTTGTATCTGTCCGTTAATCCGTTTTCTGATTGGTGTGAAGTCTCGCCATTCTTTCACCCGGCTGCATTGTCATAAATCGAGCAAAAAGAAAAGAAAATCCATACAGATAGTCCTCGACTTATAACAGTTCATTTAGTGACCGTTCAAAGTTACAACGGCACTGAAAAAAGTGACGGCTTTTCACACTTAACAACTCTGATTCACACTTAACGATGGTCGCAGCGTTCTCGGCTCATGTGATTCTCGTTTTGCTACCATCTTTGACCCGGAAAAAGTCCACGGGGAAAGCCAAATTCGCTTAACGATAGCGTTCCTCACTTAACAACCGCAGTGATTCTCTTAAGCACTGCGACAAGAAAGGTCGTAACGTGCACTCGACGTCCCCTTAACGTCCGTCTTGTTGAACGATGGAAATTGCAGGCTCGATTGTGATCGTTGTTCGGGACTACCTGTAATTTGCGTGACCCGTCAAAAGCGCGGTCGACGAAATCACGTATGTGACATCATCACAACGCGACGAAAAAGATCGAAAAATTGAAATAAAAATTAAATTACAGCAAGCCGATTCACATAAAGGTAAGGGTTAGGTTAAGGGTTAGGGTTAGGGTTAGCTTAAGGGTTAGGGTTAGGTTTAGAGCGTTAGCGTTACGTTTAGCGTTAGGTTAAGGGTTAGCGTTAGGTTTTTCGTTAGGTTTAGGGTTAGGTTAAGGGCTAGGTTAGGGTTAGGGTTAGGCTTTATTTTTACATTTTTCGATCTTTTTCGTCGCGCTGTGATGACGTCACATACGCGCTTTCGTCGACCGCGATTTTGTCGTCCGCGGTTTTGTGGTGGAACCGTAATTTGCAGCGCCTTCCCTGGAACCAGGATTGAAGTATCCGGGTGGAACGTGGCCATCTTAGCTTGCGCAGATCCTGGCTTGTTTCCCTCTCGATCGTTCTGGCTCTGTTTAGATCTCTGATTCTCATCCCCCCCCGTTTTTCCCCCGCTCCCCCAGAAAATTTGTCCGATCTGCCTGGGGCTGGACCGGCATTTTCCTCGGCGGATTCATCCTTCCGGTGGTTTACCTGTCCACGCACCAGATCCTGCTCACTTTACGTCACCTGGCCCGCTTGGCGGTGGGCGCCAGCCTCTGGCTCGGCGCCACCGAAGCCTTCCTCCTGATTGAGAACCTGACTGGCTACTGCTTCGACTCCGTGCCGGAAGGGATCCTGGTGAACGGCCTGGCGGACAAGTGGACGTGTCTCCACAAAGGCCACAAATGGCACGGCTACGATGTCTCGGACCACACTTTCCTGCTGACCTTCTGCTGCCTGCTGATGGTGGAGGAGACGGCCATCTTCCGGCGCTACCTGGCCCAGGGTCACCCAGCCGGGGTGCCGCTACGCCTCATTTTCCTGCTTAACGTCCTCCTCCTCCTGCTCTGGAACTTCCTGCTGGCGTGTACGGTGGTGTACCTGTACGACTACAGCCACAAAGTCGTCGGAGCCGCCATCGCCACGCTGTGTTGGTTCCTGACCTACCGGTGCTGGTACCGCTGCCCGTGTTCGCCGGGGAGACCCGGGGCCGGCCTGTTTCTCCGGGGAGCCACGAAAGAGGCCACGCGGCAGAACTGAGCATCTGCCCAAAAGTCGAGGCGCTCCATCAGTTGGCCCAAATAAAGAAAGGACTCTTTCCAAAGTTCTCGTTGTGGTTTCTGGGGGGGTCCGATGAATTAGAGGTCTCGGCTGTGCCAGCTGACAAAAAAGGGGTACGGAACCCCGAGTCTGTCTTTCCCCATTTTTTATTTATTTATTTATAATGTTTAAATAAGTAGGGAACTTTTTACAGCTGCCACGAACGCTTCTCAACTTGGGCCGCTTTAAAACTTGTGGACTTCAACTCCCAGAATTGCAAAGTGGAAAGAGGGGGGGGGGGGTTGGAGGACTGGGGAATTCTGGGAGTTGAAGTCCACAAGTCTTAAAGGGGCCACGATTGAGAAACACTCAGCTAGAACATAATGATCATGGGGGAGATGACAGGTGAGGAATATTTTTCCCCCCCAAGCTTGGGGCTGAGCTGGCTAAGAAGTTGGGACAAAAGGCGTTGGGAACAAGTCCAGCCAAAGGTGATTTTTCTGCATTTCCTTATGATATTGTTCATTTCTCTTGGCAGGGACAGGCAGACAGAAATATAATTCTATTGGTCTGTCTCCATTTTGATCTATCTATCATCTATCTATCTATCTATCATCTATCTATCTATCTATCCATCCATCCATCATGTCTATCTATTCATCCAATCCAATCAATCTACATTTATCCATCCATCCACCCTTCATCCCCTCATCCATCCATCCATCTATCCAATCTATCCATCTACATCTATCCATCCATCATCCTCTCCTATCTAGCTATCTATCATCCATCTATCTATCTAATCTATATCTACATTTCTCTATCCATCCATACTTCCTCATCTATCCATCTACATCTATCTACATTTACCCTTCCTTCCTTCCTTCTTTCTTTGTCTGTCTGTCTGTCTGTCTCTATCTATCTATCCATCCATCTATCTATCATCATGTATCCAACTGATCTGTTGATTCCTTTTCCCATCCAGTATTTCTCCACTTGGCCGCTTTAAGTTCCGTGGATTTCAACGCCCAGAATTCCCTTAGCCGATCAGGCTGCCCTGAGGAATTCTGGGCAGGAATACAGCACAGGCTTGATTCCCAGTAAGGGTATAGCTGATGAGAGCTAAATAGCTTGAAATAGATCTATACTAGTCTCCCTTTATTTATTTATCAGCACAAATATAACATATATATATGTATGTATGTATGTGTGTGTGTATGTATGTATATGTATGTATGTATGTGTGTGTGTATGTATGTATA